TAGTTAGTTTAATTTTGCTTACATATAAACAGTTTAATATAATAGCATATTATATCTCAGAATTATTTTTTAAATATAGTCAAAGGAGGATTTTTGCAAATCCCTATCTCTTTTCTATGGAGTTTACACTCTCTCATTGATTCTGGTACTAAATAGTTTGGTATTTGGGTGTGTGTGGGTTTTTTGTTTGTTTGTTGTTGGGTTTTTTGCTAAGATTATTCTTCTTATACTGTAAAACAATTCCACATACTGATACACATAATTATCTTGTCTTTGGAGAATTTCAAGTGTACTGTTTCTGTTTGTTGCAGTCAGAAGCCATGCATGTGAAGTGGATCCATATGGAATGCCAGGGGGATGTTCGCACATCTGTCTGCTCAGCAGCAGCTACAAAACACGGACCTGTCGCTGCAGGACGGGCTTCAACTTGGGAAGTGATGGCAGGTCATGCAAAAGTATGTTGTCAAAATCAAACATTTTGCCAACAGCTACTGCTACAGAATAGGGTTTTTAGTATTAATTAGCAGCAACATCCATAATAACATGAGACTTCATCAAGTGAAATCTGACTGCAAATATGTGGCAGTCAATTTTCTCAAAATCAGTATTGAGTGGTTTTGTGCATGTGTTTGTGAATGTATGCGCATGTGTGTGTGTGTGTGTGTGTGTGTGTGTGTGTGTGTGTGTTTGACAATGTGAATGAGAAAACTAAGTGGACTGTAGAGTGACTAAATTTATGGATGTCCTGGAAATATACTTTAGGAAAGACTTTTAGGAAGACCCTCTCCTTTATTCCTTAAAGAATGTTTGTGGTCTAATAAGCTCAAATCATTGGTTGACCAGATTTTCTCTTATCTGAACCAAGATGCTTCTACTAGTAAAAAAAAAAAATGCTTCTACTAGTAAGAGGTATGTTGGTTAGGTCAACAGAAATTTACACAAAGCAGTGGTTCACCTTATTTAGTATCATTGGGAAGTGAAATTAATTTTATTATTTAATGTTCCAGGTAAATGGAGCTTTGCTAATTTATATTTTTAAATAATTTTATTTAAAAGCTTCTAATAGATATATCTTCATTTTATTCTTGAAATATGCTAGAGCAATTTAGTTAATCTTTATTTAAATAAGCTATTTTTTATAAATGACTTTTTTAACTTTACATTTTTTCACAGAAATTAGTTAAGGTCTTTGGGGGTCTTTACAATCATATATAGTAGAATGGCCCTTTTAGAAATGGTGTCTACATGGATACTGTTGCTCTTTAAATGTCCCCAAATACCATAATTTTTAAAGGTATGATGACTGCTTTTTATAATGTCCATTTGTCTTCATTTTGTCATAGCAAGGCTTTTTATTTCTATCAGTTGTCTCTCTTTGGTCACTGTCCTGCCATATTTTCAATTTTTTTGTCATGTGCTTGCTGAGAACTATGAAATGAGACCACTAAAGTGGTTATAGTTTTAAGTATAAACAGAATTAGTAGTACTAATACTTTTAAATATATATATACTTGATTTGCTGTTCCACTTAATTTTTTAAATATGTTTTTATTGATTTCAGAGAGGAAGGGAGAGGAGAGAGAGATAGAAGCATCAATGATGAGAGAATCATTGATTGGCTGCCTCCTGCACACCCCACACTGGGGATTGAGCCTGCAACCTGGGCATGTGCCCTGACAGGGAATCAAACCATGATCTCCTGGTTCATAGGTAGATAGATGATCAACCACCGAGCTGCGCCGGTCAGCCAATACTTTTAAATTAGAACCAAGGGGCTCAATGGTTATAAAACGTGCATTTTAGTATTTTGTTTTATTTCTAATTGTATATAAAATGTTGAGTATGTAGAGATGACAGATCTCATGTTCAGTAAATCCTCTGGAAAATTGAGGGTCTGTGTCAGAAGTCTCAAGATAGAAGTTGTGTGTGTGTGTGTGTGTGTGTGTGTGTGTGTGTGTATGTATGTGTGTATAACCAACGTTTAAACTGTTCTGGTTACCACTTGGGAAGTTATGGCATGTCATGTAAAAATAAAATCATACATGCATATGCACACATTTTGGGGGAGAAGTGTAAGATCAGAGTTTCATAAGTTTCAACCATCCTTAATTTAGTGTCAATCAGGGAACATTTATATGAAAATAAATAGTCCTAGGTATTTTAAACACAGAGGGTCAAATGCAAACAGGTGCTTACAAAATCATTAAAAAGCCTGAAGCAGCAGATTCTAGAATTCAGAACATTGCTCAAATACCATCATCAAACTAACCTGGCTTAAAGCTGGAACATCTGCCAAAATCAGAAGCTAGGGCATCAGGATGCCACCAATGGTAATGGCAACTTCAGAAATACATCCTTTGAGCTGAGATCCAGGAAATCAGGAAGCTTTCACCACAGCTGTTAGCTCCAGAAACATGTAACAACCAATAGTACCCTACTGGTAAACCAAGCAAAACATCACAGAACAAAACAAAAAGACACCCTCTTTCTCGCCTTTTGATATACACAAGGGGAGAAGGTCAGTGTGGAAAAACTCGAGTTCTCCATTGGATGAGCACCAACAGATCAGCAAAAGATGGCCTCATTTCCATATTCCAAACCTCAGCTCATACATCTGTTTGGGGTACTTAAATCAAAACCAGAACCATGGCTATATGACCACCTGTGAAATGTTTTCAGTTTTAAGTTGTCTATAGTACAGGAAAACACAGTAGAAAAAAACTTTAAAGTAGGTATTGAATGACTAAAAGAAGTGATTAAAGAAAACAAGGGAAAAGAGTTACCATTCTTATTTAAAATATATGTGCACACAGGTACACACACACATACATTAAATCAATAAAATACCAGCTTTACCAATTACCAGTTAAAACATCTATTAAAAATGAAAGCAAAAATAAATGTTAGCAAGAATGAGTATGAGAAAATCAGCCTTTTTATGCATTGATAATAGAATTGGAAATTGTTATAACTATTGTAAAGATATCAATACAGTTTTAAAAATGTAAAGCTAATACTATCCTTTTACTACCCTTTAACAAGTTATCCCACTTTTGACTGAAGAAATTTATTTAAGTGTATTTATAATAATAATACAAACTCAGAAACAATCTAATTTCTAACAGTAGGTAAGTAGCTGACTATGTTATATTGCCTCTCTAGTAGCAAACAAGATGCTGCCATTGGAATGAATGTTTTGAAGACTTTTTAATGATGCAACTAAATATCATTAATTTTTTAAAAATCGGGTACTAAAATACATATGTAATAGATCTATACTTTATTAAAGAAAAGTATGCATATAAAGTTGGTAGAAAATACTCAAGACTGTTAATTTTCAAATAATATGCACTACTTTTAAATAACATAGTACATTATTTAAAATATGCTCAGACACTGAGAGACTTTGAGGACAATGAGGAAGAGGAATGTAAATATTCTTTGCCCAGTAATTAGATTTCTGGAAATCTATACTAATAGATCATCTAAGAAAATATATAAACTAGTAGGTTGAAAAAGATGCTTATCTCATTATTATTATAATAATAAAAAAGATAAAACCAACCTGGGAGTGGTTTGGCAAATTATCATGTATTATACTGATCAAACTGAAATAATGTAAGGCTTAAAATAATCAACATAGAACATAGTTTTGATACAAAGATATAATTACAAAAAGTAGCCTATAAAAATGGAGTGCCCCCTTCTATATAAGTGTTAATTAGAAAACTAGCTAGATAAATTAAATCTGAACTAGTCACACAAAGGAATAGAATACAGCAGTGAAAATGAATGAACAATGATTACAACCATGGATGAATATCAAGAATACAAGAAGAATAAAATTAATTCATATGAGAATTCACACATATAATTCAAACACGTAAAGTTATACAACCTACTCTGGGGAAATACATGCATTTGCCTAAAACTTTTACAAAGTACATTATGGACTCAATAATTAGGCTATCGATGGCTCTGGGATAGAATCGGGGTATGTGCATGTCTTCCCATGTTCTGGGAACATTCTTAAGATATGTACTAGATATGTGAGGTTTGTTTTATTTTTATTCTATATATATTGAAATGTTATAAAATTTGCTTACATATGTTTAATATTCAATAACATTATTTAAAAATAGAAAGAAAATATAGAGAATTATAATCTACACTAATAAAAGAGAAACATGGTAATATTAAAAACAGAAAGAAAATATAGAGAATTATAATATAGTTTATATTGAGGGTGGTGTGTTTATATGTTACTAGTTTTTATTTTTTTCAAATTTTCTATAATTCAGACATATTACTAAAAATCTCAAGTATAGTTTATATTGAGGGTGGTGTGTTTATATGTTATTAGTTTTTTTTTTTTTTTAAATTTTCTATAATTCAGACATATTACTAAAAATCTCATGGTCTGGTTATTCAAATATAATTGAGTCATTTGTATCCTCCATTTTAAAATAAAACAGTATGTTTTCTTTTTCATATAAAGTAATTCCTTTAAAATTATATAGACTAAAATTAAGTATCGGGTGCCCTAGCAATTGGAGAACCTTGCATATGTTTTTATATAAAAGTCTGAAGGAGTTAGTTCACTCTACAAAGAGCTAACTTGATTTTGGCATTTTAACCCAGGAGGCAGTTCTGTCTTGGGCTTTTGTTTTTGTTTTGTTTTGTTTTTGATAACGGCAGTGTTGCACATCAGAGTTACTGGCATCGACCTCTAACATATTAATTAAGATGCAAAGAAAAAAGTGATGCTGTAACTGGCATTTGATTTAATTTCTTAAAAATATAAATCACATGATTAAATAATTGTCACATATTCACATGTAAGTATGTGATGCTGTGCGAGTGCTTTGTTTACCTCTAACAGTTTGTAGATGCAAACTCTGAGGGGTGGGGTAGAGTGTTTTATCTATTCTGAAGTGTTAGCATTGTCAAACATAATGGATTCTGTAATTGGTATCTGCAAAATGTGTTAGATAAATTATAATGAATTGTAAAATTAAATGTGCCGGATGTTTTGATAAATGTCCATTTTACAGTTACAAGTTTTCCAATGATCTTTCATTATTTTATTTTATTTTTTTTGCTATACTGACACTTACAGACAAAAAATTAACTAAATATAACCCATTCACGGAAGTAATTTCTGTTTTAATTAAAGTAATGCAGTTAACCGGCCTTCTTGCATCAAGATACATTTGGCATATTTTAGAGTTTAATTTTTGGTACTGAATTTTAAAAACGCTAATTGTGCCAGTTAATTAAACAGTGGCATTATGCAGTGTAGAGAAGATTAGGCAGAGTCAGTTGTTTATGTTTGTAATCTTCATTCTGCAGGACCCAAGAATGAGTTGTTCCTTTTTTATGGGAAAGGACGCCCAGGAATTGTTAGAGGAATGGACTTGAATACCAAGATAGCTGATGAATACATGATCCCCATAGAAAATCTGGTAAACCCTCGCGCTTTAGATTTTCACGCAGAAACCAATTATATCTACTTTGCTGACACCACCAGTTTCCTAATTGGCCGGCAGAAGATAGATGGCACAGAGCGAGAAACCATCCTGAAAGATGGTAAGTGACAATGTGTAACATTAACGTTAAACTGCCCAGAGATAAAGTACTTTGAAGGGACAAATCCAATGTATGTCAAGATAACTTTAACCAGAACCCAAGTTACCATTGATTTAAAAATATGTATCAATTTGTCTTCAGTAATATTATTTCTACATATTTTTCACATACTAGCATATTAAAAACTTCAGTATAAAGTTGAACTTGCAATTATCCACTACATTTTAAATATCACAGGAATTAGATTGAGCTATGTATCCACTTTCATGGAAAAACATAAATTTACTATTATTTGTTTATAGTTCTATGTTGCAGAAGATAATATTTTAATAGGACATCAGAGACTTTTGTAATATTTGATTCTCTCTAGAATATTGGTCATGTCACTAAAAGCGCATTAAAAATATTAATGTCCCTATTGTCATCACAATTCTTGAATATTGTTTTTTACTTTATAAATCATTAAAAATCAGTTCTTTAGAGTTTCCCTTGAAATATCAGTATCTGTAAAGAAACTTTAGTTGTTTATGCCTATTGTTATTTATATATATACACATATGTAATCATATGTATATACATACACTCATAGTATATATACACACACTTTATTAAAGTCAGTGGATTTCATGCATTACTTGGCTTAGTAACAACCAATTAAGAAACAAAAATAATGTAACTTTGGTATACGTAGAAAAGATCTTTAATAATCAAGCAAACCAAACCTTGAGCATGTCAATGAATGATTTTGGACCTCAGTTTCCTCACATATACAGTCTACTTCTAAAATATTGTAGAAATCTTTGATTTAGGGAACACTAATTATAACCTTATTTTATGAAGGTCACTGTGCTATCAAAGTTGATTAAAAGGATTTAGGAAATGACCACTGCCTTCAAGGAATCCATGGTCTACTTTTGGAGATCATGTAAGCGCACAAAAACGGTAAAGGGTTTGAAGCATTTACTTTAAATAATAAGTTCAAAGATGGCCCAAGGAAATACATGATGAATGAAGAACATCCGTGTAAGGAGAAAACACAGGGAGGAAGAGAAGTCTTGATGGGAGTATTCCCAGCGAACTTTTTGTGGAGGAGATGTTATTTTGTCTAGTTCTTAAAAAGAAGAGTGCTAAGGAGGGGGGAAGGATATTCCATGAAAACAAAACAACAAAATCACACTCTCCAGAAAGAGCATGAGGGGAACATTTAGCTCATTACTACAGGAGGTTTGTTTACAGGTAATAGTGACAGAGTAGATGTAAAAAGTGAAAGGCGGTGAAATAATAGACCTTAAATGTGAAATGAAGGGTCTTGGATAAAAATCCTGAAGAGGTAAGAGACAGGAAGTACTTTTAAGCCAAAGAATAATGTGAACCAAATGATATTTTAGGAGCATCAGTCCGGTAGTGGAGTGCAGAATGAATCAGAGAGAAGGAGGGGAAATAAAAGCAGAGAGACGGACTAACATTATTTACAGCATGACGGGTAAAGAATGGTGGTCTGCTATCTTTTAAAGGAAATGGGGGGCAGTATAAAGAGATTTTTCACTCACCTCAGGTTCACTATAAGTCAAACCTTTACTGATAAAATGTACAGTTTCCACAAGTGACAAATGAAGTGCTAAAATGAAAAACACACTCCTGTTTTTGTCTCTCTCTCTTTTTTTTGTCCAATTAGAGTTAAGATTTGTACTTTAAATTAGACATGGCAGAGGCTATCTGTATACTTTTCTCTGTGATGTGATATCAGATAATAGGGACTTGACAATTTTAGGACAATGAACTTGCATATTCTAAGCAGTAGATACATTTGGATTGCTCTAATTTTGATTAAACATTTTCAAGAGGGACTGAAATAGAATTTAAAGGATTCTTGGTTTCTTTTTAAAAAGTGTCAGTTCCAATGATGTGTCTGAATGGTCTGGCTAATAATCCTAACTTTGACAACCGTATCTTATCAGTGACATTGGCTGATTTTTGCACTTCACCAAAGCAACAGAGATCAATTCTCATAGCAGCTAGACTTCCAGGAATATTTGTATAGTTTCACTTTGGCAGTTTGACGGTTATGAGAATATTTTGAGATTTTCACACATGAAATATATTAACATTTTGATATTCCTACACAAGGGACATTAATGCATTTTTTTAGTTTATCTTTTTTTCTTACCAGTAAGGAGAATAGTAATAGATATTATGACACAAGATTAACATGTCAAAACGGAACTTATATTTGGCAAAGTATAATTTGTGGTTCTTGGAATCAGAAAGATCAAGTTCTCTGTGTATTCACTCACTTAGCTAGAGTTTCTACAGTTCTACCTGAAGACTGAGCGGCAATGTTTAGTTTGACAAATAATTCTTTAAGTTTTGTAGAAATTCTCAGTCTTAGATAAATTTGTGTGGTTTGAACTACAAGACTATAGAGATTTTATTTGCAAATAAAACAAATATCTTAGACATTTGTGTCAGCTCAGTCTTTTCTATAAACGAAAAGAAAACACAACAACATTTAAATAGGACCCATCTCCATTATTCTTGGACTTTTTTAATTTAATTTTATTTATTTATTTATTTGGGCTCAAAGGTTCATTGAAAACCTCCTAAATGTGATAAATCCTATAGTCTTTGTGGACTCTTGTGAATTTAAATATTAGTTACGTAAATTAAAAAGGACAATTGTACATTTGAGGCACTTCTATGTATCTCAATGATTACTGAAATTATCAGTGGAATAAAATATTAGTGATTTAATAATAGATTAGTGATTTAATAATAGATTTCTATAGAATAAAACACCAATCTGTATTTTTTACTCCCTAGAATTTTTGTCAAAATTTTGTGAAATTAATACTTTAAAAAATTAATTATTTGATTTATTTCTTTGTCCAGTCAATAAATATTCATTAAATGCCTTCTCTGAGCCAGGTGCTGCTCTAGGTGATAGGAATGCCAATAGGAATAGGACCAAGATTCATATACAGTTTATATCCGAATAGTGGGAGGCAGGTAAATAGACATGTAAGTGAACAAGGTAATCATAGTGCTATACAGAGAATAAAGTAAGATATTATGGGACAAAGAAAAAGAGATATCAAAGGGAGGTAAATTAATTCTAAGTGACCAGGGAATTTAAATTAACTATTTTTCCAGGTATAATTGATAATCTCTATCAGAGAAAGTGATAGATACCCTTTATAAGACTGAATTCACTTTTATCTTCTTGGGTGTCTTGCCCAGGATTCATTTTTCATTGTAGCATGAATCATAATTTTCAGCAGAAGGGGAAAGACATAAAAATGATTACTTACTATCTGATCTATATGCATATATTCTATTAGTGCAGTACTTGTTTTTAAACTGTATAAATTAGTTCTTCTGGGATACATATATCCAAATAGAAGGCATGTGAAAATACTTTTATACATTGTTTCATATCTTTAAAAAGTATTTTAAAACAGCATTCAATGCATTTTTCTCTGAGTTTGGAAGATATTAATGCCTGCAGCTACAACAGAAAACCTGTAGTTCCAACAGGTCCCATGATTAAACTGGACACTTGGGTCATCAGGTTTGTGGTAATTTGTTGGGATAGTTGCAGGAACTAACACAAAGCCGATGCTCTTAAGCATTTTGCTATTTTGACTTTCTGTACTTCCTAGGATGGGTTCAACCTGATTAAGATTTGGAGTAGGCACACATTTCTCCACCTCAGGGTCTTCCTTAATGTAAGGTATATTATAGAAGAAAACAAATGGATTATCTTTGGAGAGGATGCAAGATATGCTCCCTTTTTTGATATTATGAATAGAAATGTAGATATGAGAAAGGGGAAAGCAGTCTTTCTATGCCAAACACATTCTTCCAATAGCATGTTTAAAGTTAACTTGCTGATACGCTATCAGAGGGTAAAATCATGTTTATGTGATTGCTTGTCCAGCATCTGAAGGCTCAAGCCCTGTTCTTCATCTTAGTTCCATCCCAGAATTTCCCTACTTCCCCATGGATTTTAGAATTCAACAGTTTCTCCAATTACGTGTTGAAATTGTGGTATTATACCCAGGCCATAAATTCTTATTTGATAATTCATCATTGTAGTATTTAAAAACCTCACTACCACCAACACACACACACACACACACACACACACACACACACACACACTACCAATTTAAGACCCACTTTTGAACTCCAGAAACATTTTCAGACCTCTACTCTAACCAGTTCTAGGACAGCCACTCACTCACCTTAGAGTAATATTTTCTGAACCTAGAGATCACTATTTGTTTTAGGATTTCAATGAACTTCACCATTGTATAACTCACTAGGAATTTCTAGTGTCTCACAAAGATCAAGTTTTGCAATGATGAAACAAACAAACAAGCAAACATATCACTAATAACTTATGTTAGAAAGTTCCCATGAACTTAAGTGAGAATAGGACCAAGATTCATATACAGTTTATATCCGAATAGTGGGAGGCAGGTAAATAGACATGTAAGTGAACAAGGTAATCATAGTGCTATACAGAGAATAAAGTAAGATATTATGGGACAAAGAAAAAGAGATATCAAAGGGAGGTAAATTAATTCTAAGTGACCAGGGAATTTAAATTAACTATTTTTCCAGGTATAATTGATAATCTCTATCAGAGAAAGTGATAGATACCCTTTATAAGACTGAATTCACTTTTATCTTCTTGGGTGTCTTGCCCAGGATTCATTTTTCATTGTAGCATGAATCATAATTTTCAGCAGAAGGGGAAAGCCATAAAAATGATTACTTACTATCTGATCTATATGCATATATTCTATTAGTGCAGTACTTGTTTTTAAACTGTATAAATTAGTTCTTCTGGGATACATATATCCAAATAGAAGGCATGTGAAAATACTTTTATACATTGTTTCATATCTTTAAAAAGTATTTTAAAACAGCATTCAATGCATTTTTCTCTGAGTTTGGAAGATATTAATGCCTGCAGCTACAACAGAAAACCTGTA